AACTGCCCCGGGGAGGATGTGAGATTGTGCTTCAAGGAGAAAACAAAGAGGGGCCGGTGAATCAGGCATTGATTAAATGTGCGTGAGTTATTTCAGCGAGCAAACAAGACCAGCGTATCCTTGGAGGAACCCTAATGGTAGGTAAATCAAAGAGAGAGTATTTTTCAGCTGAAAGGCAAATAGAAATATGCATGATCAGATTTGAGCATTGCTCAAGTCCCCAGTTGGATGTATTCATCCTTATTCCGTTCTCTCAAAGAGCTCCATTTAATGTCACCAAGCAAAGGGAAGTGATGAAATGGAGCAATTATGTATCCATTTGTGCTATTCAGGTGAAACCAGGTGTAAAATTTCCAATCTGTGCACCTGCTGTATCTTTAATTCATTGTGCTTTCTCACCAGTGTTGCCGGTTAGATGGTAATATCCAAAATATGGAGAAAATATTATTGCAATAAATCTATTTAGCATTATCATATTGCTTCCAGAGAAAAGGATTGTTTTTCCTGTGTAGGTTTACCCCAAAAATTACAATAGCTAAGTGATCATAGTAAAACAAATCTTATAGGAGAAACATTACAGAATTGTTGAGTTGTGCTGTAATAAGAGCAAGAACACATTCCAATAAAACAAAATTGTCTCTCATCAAGAAGCAACATACTTAATTTGATATCCAGACATTTAGGAATATGAGAAAGAAAACAATGGCGCATTCTCGTCCTGAATGTGGAGAATTACATTCTTTGGTGAAAACAGATAGTCAAGTCATCTCCTGTCGGGCTGCAGATTAATTTTCGAGTTTGTGCATATAAATATTCATGAACTACCTTGAAAAGCGATGTCGGACTTTATAAGGCGGTCAGCGGAGAAACCAACAAACCCCCCTCCCTTCTCTGCAGCTGTGCTGATGAGGAGGGGGGTTAGTTCATGATGAAAGACTCTCACTATCCACGACCTTTCCAGTCTAAAACAAAGATTTGCACAATTAACTACTTTTAAATGTCATCCAACTGCCAAATCTGCATATCAACGGCAAGCCTTGCATAGAAATTAGACGATGTTTGTAGAGGAATCATTTTTCTCCCCGTTCCCATCCCAATGCCACCAAATCTTTCTCATTTTAGCCAGGAAGGAAATGTAAATGTCAACATATCTTGTGTGGAAATCCTTCTGTTGCTAATTAACCTTTGCCGTTTAGAAGCTAGACTGAGCTCTGCCTAAACACCGCAATTAACTCCAGCTTGAAAGACAGAGAGACAACATCTACATGGAGCCATAAAACAAGCGGGAGTCACAGTGACTTCATTATCCTTTGCCGACAAACATACTCTGCACACCTCACATTTTTGAGGGCACTCATTGGTTGATATTTTCCCCGGGCGGCAGGAGTGAGTCTATTGGGAGGATGTAAAAAATTTGGTGGATTAACAAATCTCATTTCTTTTTATCTTCATGAGGTTGGACGGGAAAGCTAGTTTAGTCGTAGCCCCTGGTGAGAAGCAAACCATTATAGGGGAATTCATACTCATAAATCTTCATACATCAAGTCAAGGACTGCTGGGGTCTGTCATGTTCAAGTTCAATTTCCAGATGCAGTGACTGGGAGGAAAATTCGTCCTCTCTAACAGACTTCAACCATCCAAAACAAGTAAACCAGCCAGGGTAATTCAAACACTTTCTTCTGGTGTTCTCTGTAGGTCTCGTCGGAGCCTGAACTCCTCTGGAGCTCACTCCTGCAGCTCAATGGCAGTGTCACTTACAAAGTCAACCCATTTACATCTTCACTATTCAAAGCGACACTCTTTCAACTACAGAATCAACACAAATCAAAAGGCAGGCAGAATACCATAGGTAGCTGGGCAAAATATCTCCTTGCTCCCCAGGGAGTGGGGGTGAGAACAGTATATGATGACAGACAGGAAATATTTTCTTTTATATATTGATAAATATTGAAGCTCTTGGAGCACTCAGGCCAGATGCAGACAAATGACTGACATAATTTCCAAGAGAAAGGAAGAATCTATGTTTGGAGAGGGCAAAGGTGAAGCGGAGAGAATGCTGGGAAGTGCCAGAGTAAAGTTGATTCAGTGTAGGATGAAGGGAAGCTTTAGCAGACTAGACCCTCCTCAGTGGGAGGCAGTCAGAAAGAGAAAGAGACCCTTTAACCACAAGCAAGGCATCTGAGGCAAAGACGAACAACCAAGGTTATGCAAAATACTTTAAAACAAGACATTACTTGTTCAGGGATGCTATGAAGATGAAAGTCGCTGTGCACTGTACAGAGTTTTTGGTATAAAATGGGGAGATGCGATCAGTAGATACAATCAAGTACTGTCCGACCTTATCATGGGCACCACCATTTGCTGGATCAACAAGTTACTGCATGCTGCCCTACATTACAAAAAACAAAAAAGCTCTGACATACTTATTTCTTGACAGCACACCAACGCTTAAGGAGGGTGGGCCGCCATGTTTCTAAAACACAGGCTTCATCATGACTAGATGCTCTGTATCAATTCTTGTGAGGAAGTTAAAAAGAGTCCCCACCTTTTCAGTTGAGGACATCCGTCAATGTCAGCTATGATTAGGTCTTGAAAAAATACAAATTTCTTTGAAAAACTAGACTGACGCCCTTGCAGGTCCGACATGAAAAATGTCCTGTATGGTCAACGCCAATTCTTATCAGCACCTCATTAAAAATGTAATGACCACATGAATATTTACCAAGTTTAATTACTGCTCTATATTGCTATTCTGTCGTGTCCTCCACTCTTTTCTTTTCCGGAGGGCAGTCTCTCTTCCAAGTGCTGGACGAACGCCTCTTTCCACCTTGATGAATATTGCAGGAGTCTAAGGAGTGTGAGCCATTGATGGAAACCACCTCAATCAGCAGGAGAATCAATGGCATACACTCACATTTGTAAAGGTGCTAATTGGCGGCAGTAAAATTCAGCAAGCTGCATAATTTACCCAAGAGAGAAATGGGAGTGCACCAAGATCAGCTCATTTGCAGCAGACATATTAAAAAACCCTGTCATTCTAAAATCAGAAGGCCTTCAACAGATGCAGAGGAGACCAAACCAGAGGCCAAATTATTAATGTCTCAGCTTGTCAGGGCCAATGAAGTACAAGCTATTGAAGAAGGGTTTTTCTTACTGGAGAAGTAACAATGAAAACCTCTTCACTGAAGGACCGAGTCTCACGGGCAGTACCTGGCACTCTTCTCTCAACCAATCTTTGTTATGCGAACATACAGTATTAAACACATAGCCAAACACACAAGAAAAATACATCTAACAATTACTGTACAATTACACCTGACAGAAAAACATTCTGTTAATATTTTGTCTCTTATTTCTTATAATTGGTGAAAGAGGAGGGCAAGCGCTCCACTCCCCTTGCAACAATAATTGCACTTTTCTCACCTGTTTATCTGAGAGAGCAGTGAAGTAAGATCAGAATGGAGTGCAGCGGAGAGGAAGAGTGAGTTAGAAAGTGTGGCTGTGAATGACGCCGAGTTCATCACAGACTACTCAGACCTGCTTTGTCCAGACACTGGCCAGGGAGAAGCAGAAAACATCTCAATGGTAGAGCTTTGGTGCACCGGGAACAGGTGAAACCCTTCATGTTGACAAACCGCCCTAGTGATTACCAAAACACATCCAACGTAATGGCAATATCTGTAGCAGATTCTGGCCGGGGACATTTGTTGCATACGATACGTCCTTCTTTCATTTCTACCTATGTTTCCTCCCTGTATCTACACTTCCACTATCTAATAAAAGAAAAATGCCAAAAGTAATTAAAACAAAGATTTCATATTTTTCCAACATTTTTAGTCACGCAAACAACAACTCCCTTCAGAAAATTTCAAAGAAAATCAAAACGATACGACACAAGGTTTCAACTGTTATTTTGTGCTCAGTTTCAGGCAGCTGTTGTTCAAACAGCTACAGGAGGTGGACAGTATAATAAACACCTGCGAAATCTCTTGCAATCCAACATAAGAGCCAATTCCTGCAACAAATACTACCTTGCGAAGCTTATAATATAGGACCATTCCAAAGAGGGAACATTTTTGGGGAAAATAAAAGAAAACCTTTGGTACAAAACCACAAATTGCAGCCATAAAACACACCATAGTATCGAAACAGCACATTTCTGACACAGTCCCAGAAAACACAAAGGTAGCAGTTGTTGCAGTGTTTGTAAGTGGATATTCCACGGGTGTTGGCGTCTCTGTACCAAGTGCAATTTTGACGTGAAAAAGTGGAAAATGTAAGTTTCCAATTTATAAAAGTTATCCTCACCTATCTCTGCAAGTAAGATGCTGAGACAATAAACACAAAGACCTTTGCATCCTTTTTGATGCTATCTCTAGTGTTTGATCACCAGACATGAAACAACACAAACATACTGAACAGTAAAATAGGAACTTGAAAGGGCCAATACTGTGAAAGCTTTTTAGCTCTTTGAGACCTTTGCTTTCTTGCTGGGCAGCAAGCTGATGTCTGCCCGCTTTGTCTCAGATATGAAGCTCCTATGATTGTGACAATAGGTCTGACCTTGACATCACAAGTGTACCTTAATGGAAATGCAAGTCGATTGATGTGTCACGGTGCACAATAGAAAAGAGATAATCGAAGCATGGGTACCTGTGGCAAACATCTTTATTTCTAACAATACACAGGCTTTGCTATGCCATACTTGCACATTCCAAGGCCTTTGGTTGTGACGGAAAACATGCTGGCATCCTGATTTGCATTTTACCTGAGAATAAAGATGCAAATGTGTTCAATAAAAATTTCACCATGTCTACCATTATAGTAATGGTGTTCTTTGGGCTGAAATATAGTTGATGTAAGTCTGGAAAAACCTGCAGGGAAAAAAATGTTTAAGCGGTCCACAGATGATGTAAAATGAGCGGAAAAGTATTCCACTGTGATTGTGAATATTCTTCTCCTGCCTCAATTCCACACATACAAAAGGAAAAGAGAAAAAATAGCTTGAAGTAGTAGTGTTTTATTCATCTTTATGTAAATCCAGTCATTTACGGTTGCCTTAACAAATCAGGAATCAAGTGTGTCAACATCTAGCAGAGAAGAAAGTGCATATGGGGATTACAAAAGAACAGAAACAGAACAAAAACAGGCTGAGAGAGAGACTCCCCATCGATTAAAGTCTACAAATCTTGACAAGGGTAAAATTAACATGTTTTTAATTGTCTGAAATCTCTATATGCTGTAGAAAGTTTACCATTCTACTCAAATCCTAAGCTCAGTCTTTTGTTCATATCTGAGTGACAGTGTGTGGAGGCTGAGCCCAGAGCTGGTTCACACCATAGAAAAATACCCTGGTTATTTGCATTTTTAACTGTACACTACTGAGTTTCTATAGAATAGAGTCTTACCTACCTATTTCTACTGGCCCTGGTTATAGGCCCACTCCAATGTTTTCTTTACATCCTACATCACTAACAAAGATAAATCCCTCATTGCATTGCTACATAGATAATGTTACAAGTATATGTTCAAAACTGATATTAGGCTAAATAAATCCAACACAGTATTTATTTATATGTATATAACAGATCAAATAATGAGAATATGGTATCAGATAAACTCAGAGCACATAAACATTTCTTTAGTAAATTCTGGGTCAATTTCAGGTTGCTAATTGGATGGCAATTACCTACTAACCACTTAAGGCAACGTTTCATCTTACCTGTCATCATGGCGGTTGTGGTTAATATTCTGACCCAGGGTTTTTCAGTAAAGGCAACTTCTATTTAAATCACTGTTTGATTTTATTCTGTGCTGACTCAAGGTGATACTCAGTCAATGCTAAATATGTGCATGGCATCAAAAACTGCATTGTTCCCAAGCCATAGAGAGTCACTATGTAAACATGCAGTTTTGGAGAAGTAATCAATGCTGTTTTCCTGCCATGCATTTGCCAGGAGTTTGACTGACCCTGGCCTGAATTTTTCTTCTGTACCATGACAATGTGCATAATAAGTCACAGAAAAGAGCTCTGTCCTTCAAATGGGAGCCTTGTCAACAATCCAACACACACGCAAGAGTCCACGAATGCCTTTAACACTGTACTGAACATCCAAGAAAAGAAAAATCTTCTAAATGGAGAAAATAAACATCACAGATTTCTCAAAATGCCTCAAGTAAGGTCTGAAGCTCTGGCAGCTCAGTTGTCTTCCGGACTGAAGTTGTGGGATGTCATCTCCGGATTTCCAAGTCTCTGCTCTGTCTAGTGCTATCTTACTGCAGCAGTTGAATTCAGTTTGAAGAGTAAACACTGCAGAGGGCGCAGTGCTCGGGAACATCGCGTTCCAGTTGGAGGCGACAAACCATTTTTAATCTATTCTCATTAAAAACAATTCTGGTCCGACCATCGCTGAACGTCTTTGATTTAATGATGCGTTAGTTTGAATCTTTTTCACGTGTTCAAGACCAGTCCGAACAAACAACTCTGAGGACGATTCAGTCAAGGTGACTAAAACCAACAAGTGGTGGTGTATGAAGTCTCATTTAATTACAAAATACCAAGAGCCCCATATTTACTTAAATGATTAAAATGGGAGATTTGCTTCAAATGAAACACTTGAATGGACCTTTCTCTGTGAGTGTGTAGCTACATGTTCACATGCATGTATTAATCGTGGATGAGAAGCAAACATGACTGAGTTTCAAATATTGTGTATGTGTCTGTACACAAAAAGGGCCTCTGTGTTTGTGTGTGTATGTATGTGTGTCTGTGTGTGATCCAGCAGTAGCTACGAAGTGTTCGATGTGTTGGGGCTCCAGCCCATTTGATAAGCTCTCTCCAGGGTTCTCTTGCAGTCCTGCATCACTGTGCTGAAAACAATGTGAGGGTACTGGACCACCAGCCTCTCCACCGTCTCCTCGTTCACCTGCAAAACACACACACACACACTCAATAACAATACATTCAAGAATACTTTTTTCTTTAATTATTAGTAGACATCAATCAATGGCAAATCAATCAAACCTGTTTTAATGTTCATATCAGCACCTGTAATTTTAATACAGACTAGATACATCTTGAAACCATCCTTTAAAGATACTGGGCTATTTGACTGATTGGTTGTTTGAACTTCTGGTTAAATGTTATTGGTGCTTGTAGCTATTGTTACTTTATAGGCATTTATCAAAAATACAATATTAGTACATTTATTAGCTCCAATGTCTAGCCCTGCGTTAACACACTGAGCATCTCATGATATTGTGTCAACCAATCAGGCACTTTATTTTTAGAACCATTGAAGAATCTCCATATCAGAACAGATTTCCAGGGAGTCCTGGTTGGTTATTAAAAAAGGACAAATCATCTTAAAACTATATAAATGTAATAGAATTATTGCTTTAGGTCTAATTAATACAGATTTTTAAATTACTTAATATAAATGGAGAAATTTAAAAATATGTCGACCATCTCTGCATTGCTCCATGATGCCTTATTAAGATAAACAGAAACAAAGATTGAATTGTAAGTGCCCTGTCAAAATGGCAGTGTACTAGACTAATATGAAGCATAGGCAGAGCATTGAGTGTATGCACGCATACACACAAAATTGGACTATGGCAATGGGGTTAGCACCAGAGGACAGCTGAGCTCACCAGGCTAATGAGGCCTTCATGTTCTCAGAGGACTAGAAAGACAAGCAGCTAATAGCCACTCCCGCACCTCTTTGCCAGTCTAACACTCTGTCAGACCTTCACTAAGAGCCAAGAGTGAGAAAGCCTGAGAATCTGACAAAGAGCAGTGGCAGAGTAACCCTGGAGACCTTGAGGGGTTAACCGCAACCCACCCAGAACCAACCCCCGCCCACCCGCGAGCGTGACACTTTCCAGGGGAAATGATATATAAACACTCATACACATGTTGAGCACACAGTCATCCGTTGTTGCCAAAGCAGTGACAAAGTGTTTCACAGTTTTCCCCCGAGCTCATTGCCTGAGAGCCCTTTGGTTTCTGTGTTTTCTGGAAGAAAAGTCTTGCATGGTAAGAGTTCCCTGGCTCTTGCTCAGGTTATAATGTGTTTTGGTTGTCGTTTTCTGTCTAATGTCTTCTTTCTCTTCATCAAACAGTGGTGGGAATCAACAATTCCTTGTCAAGTAGAGAAATTGAGAAAACAAACGGACAGACAGATGTACAAAAAGATAAACGGAGTCAGGATAAAACCAGCAGAATCAAAGACAGAAATAAGTGTGTTTGAGTGAACAGACTAAGTATGCCTCTCGGGTCACAGAAGGAAGATGGAAACTCGGCACAGCACAAGTGAATTCAGTAAGACTAAAAGGCAACAACAGCCTGTTAGCTTTCCCTTTGATTGCCAAGGAAGAAACAGCAAGCTGGAGTTCGGGTTCTTGACGCCAACACACAGAGGCTTAACACACCCTTTCAGGACACCATCGATGCAGGAAAAATAAAATAAAATCAAGACCACAGGGTCAAAAGGTCTCTCTTACTTTCATCTGTTTTTTTTGTTTTTCTGATCAGATGCTTAAAGAAAATTCTGAGAATAAGTGCCAAAAACAGTCCTGCCTCAGGTCTCTCTCCAGTCAGCAAGACAACAGAGACTGGCAGTAGGCTTTAAATTTGAAATAATACTCTGACACCTCAGCAGCTGGAAAGGTGCATTAAATTTACGGATAAGAGTAGAAATGAGAACATTCCAGCAACCCTTTCAGTGCTGTGATCAATGATTCATTAGCACAGCTGATGCATTAATAAAATAGTGTTTCAGGATATTGCCTTAAAGAATTAACATTATTATTATTATGAGATAATGTCAGCATTGCCAGACAGTTTTGCAAAACAAATGACCATATTCTCTCTTGTACTGAAATATGAAACAGTAATACTGACCATACTGTCAAAAAATCACAGGAAACATTTAGGATATTTTATGCAGACAGTTTATTCACACAGGGCATGAATATATATTATATATATATATATATATATATATATATATATAATTTGAATCTCTGTGCCCTTTTCTACATGATTTCAAGAGGTTCACTCCCTTGGCCAAATATAACCAGTGAAGCGTATTTTATTACATTTCCATCCACCTCTTTTTATGCCCATTTGCACATTAAGGTGGAAAGGTTGGTGTATCGATCAAAACAAAACATGACAAAGAGCAATGGAAACAGACTTGGTGAATAAGTCATGACATACTGTACATGAAACATGTGACTCATGTTTCCACTGATCCTCAAATTAATACATAAAACAAACACAACTGCACCGATTCCATCACCCTTTTCACATATTTGTGGGTCATTTGAGGCCTAGTAATTATGTCATCTCGGTGGACCCCTCCCTCTTCTGCAGTGGTTTATGGCAGACCAACTGGGGATTTAATCAACTGTTTACCTTGATGTACCCAAATCCTAATATTTGCATTACAGTAGTGGATGGAAACGTATATATTAGAGCAGTTTGTGGGGCCGGTTTTTCTAGTGACGCTGAGACTGAGATGGTTATTTTTCAGGCTGTAAATTCATTCTTTTGACAAAGCTGTTGAATAAATCCTGGCAAAGGCAACAAATCAAGTCAACTTTAATAATAAACAGTGGTTCTCAAAAGCAAGGATTAATGCAGTTCATTCTTTCCCATTTGTAGGATTTGACCCAGGTGTCTGACCACACAACTCTCTTAAATCATGAATTTGGAGCTTTTCATCAACTGTCTGGTCTGCTGACTCTTGGATCGTTTTCAACAAATTTAGCAACAGGCTCCAAATCGTGATGATTACCTTTTATGTGATGTTGGATCACTTTCACACATGTTTTTTCTTTTATTCATTATTTCTGTATTTCGGTCGTTTAATGCCTTTATTGGGTTAGCCGTAGTGGAGAGATAACAGAAAATGAGGATGAGAGAGATGTAACAGAGGTGCCTGGTCAGATTTGGGAACCCTGCATCTGTTTTTCCCAGACAAATACTTGCGGTTTGCCTACAAAGATGGCCGCATGTTGCCCGAGCACCAAATCAGGAGCAGAAGAGCAGCTTTACCGAAGCCTCCAAAATCTGCTACTACAGAGAGAAGTTAAGTTTGTTATGACATATGGCTGAGCCTCATTAGCAGATAAAATGACAAACCCCTGATTGCCTTCATAACATATTATGCTATATTCTTGAAAAGAGAATGAAACATCCCCCAGCTTGTTAATCAGGGCTTAATTACAATTAAAACAGATCTAAAGAATAGACCTGTCAAAATGACAGGAGGCCACAACATTCATTAATGCTAATTTAGTGAAGCTCCACTTGCTGAGCAAACACAGCACACACAAAATGGCTCCCAATCAAAACGCTGAATCATTTCCTAATTGCTGGTTGCGGCAATGCTAAATGTTTGAGTTCCAAATAGATCACTTTGATGGAAATCATGGAAAGACTAACTATTGCACTGCCCTGTGCTGTCTTGTTGATAAAACTGTGTGTGCAGAAAAATAACATTAGTATTTTCATATCTTGTGTTGAAAAAGTAATTACTGTCACATACAACAGGCGTCAAATGATGAAACATCTTATAATGGCAGAGGCAAAAGCCAATCAAATTTGAAGGAGAAAAAATCAATCACATCCAAGCCTGTATACATTTCAAATGGTTACAACACAGCACAGAAACTCCTTGTACCTGGTGTGAGATGGCATCTTGGAATGACCAATGCCTTTGTTCATTTTCAAAACAACTGCTGGTGGATAAGTTGTCTTTTTGATGTAAGTATTTAGCTAACTATTAAAATCACGTTGACAGAAAATCAGTTGACAAAGTCATTTATACATCATAGCATCCATTAACTCTCCTCCACTTCACAAACATGACAACCAGAGTTACTGTGTGTCTTTTTATGGCCTAAAAACAACAGTCTTCTGTAAAAGAAACCCTCAGCTAGTAAGTTCCCAGAGTTCATAGCTACAATCCTTCTCTTTCCAGGCTGTGTGCCCTTTGCATGGCTCTGTGGTATGTTGAATGAGATGTGATGACATCACCACACCTGCTTGGTATTTGCAGCTCAGAGCTGATGTTAGACATGAAGGTCAGACCAAATGCTGTGGGTAACTGGCTGGCAGAGAGGGGAGTCCTCTAGTTACAACAGTTGTGCCACTGACTTCTTAAAACCAGTGATTCAGCTGTTTCTTCCTCGAGTGAAATTTTGTTACTGGGCAAAACTGTGCTTAATGATATTTTGTTGCTAGGCAACATAAGCTTAAAAATGCTGTCAGAAACCACTGGGGCCTCTTGTGACTGGAATGGTGCTTTAGATATATGGCTCTGGCAGGGAGTTTTTTTCTTTTACCCCATACAGTCCTGATCCAGTGAACTGTACTGTACAACCCCTCCTCCAAACCTGCTGCCAAGTCTGTAGGAGCCATGTGATAGAGCAGATCACTACTCACTGATGATTCTAATCTTTGAGAAGCATCTGGGAGCGCAGCCACAGCTATCTGGAGCAAGGCCTATACTTATGATATTTTCCCCCATTTTAACTTCAAAAATGCTGCCCTGTAGATCTAAGTGTGGTGTAATGCATGCTGACGGGTAATGTGCCGTTGTCAGGGTTTACAAGAGGGCGAGAGAGGGATGAGGGGAAAACAAAAAGATGCATGTCTGATAGGCTGATCGGCAAAAAGCATGCTGTACATTAAATGTGCATACTGGGTTGTGTGTGTGAGCGCCAGTTGATGACTGCTCCTCTACTTTTACAGTTGACAGTTGAAGGTAAGTGACGGCACGTTCCTGATCGGACCCCTGCTCTTGGGGTGCTCTTGTGTGCTCTCTTTCATAACGGTGAGCTCCTTTTTTTTTAAGACTGATCCTCTGATGCAAATACACTCTATCACCACGTAAAGTATACATTTACCGCAAGC